CTGCTGGGGGCCAGGCACAAGGTTCTGCAGGGCAGGTGCGGTGGGGAGCAACATAGACCCAGTTCCTGCCCCACCATAGCTCAGGTGAACAGACCCTCAGGTTGGTCACAGTGGTGCCCACACCGAGCTGCATACTGAAATAAAGGCTTTTCGGGGCTGGGGGCGGTGGCTCAAGCCTGTAATCCCAGCACTTTGGGAGGCCAAGGCGGGTGGATCACGAGGTCAAGAGATCGAGACCATCCTGGTCAACATGGCGAAACCCCGTCTCTACTAAAAATACAAAAAATTAGCTGGGCATGGTGGCACGTGCCTGTAATCCCAGCTACTCAGGAGGCTGAGGCAGGAGAATTGCCTGAACCCAGGAGGCGGAGGTTGCGGTGAGCCAAGATCACGCCATTGCACCCCAGCCTGGGTAACAAGAGTGAAACTCCGTCTCAAAAAAAAAAAAAATAATAATAATAATACAAAAACTAGCTGGGCGTTGTGGTGGGCACCTGTAATCCCAGCTACTCAGGAGGTGGAGGCAGGAGAATCACTTGAACCTAGGAGGCAGAGGTTGCAGTGAGCTGAGATTGTGCCACTGCACTTCAGCTGGGGCAACAGAGCGAGACACTGTCTCAAAAACAAACAAACAAACAAACAAAAAACCTTTCTGACCTTAAAGTAAACAAAGATGGACACAAAAAGAACAAACTGGGCCGGGCGCGGTGGCTCAAGCCTGTAATCCCAGCACTTTGGGAGGCTGAGGCGGGTGGATCACGAGGTCAAGACATCGAGACCATCCTGGTCAACATGGTGAAACCCCGTCTGGTCTCAAACTCCTGACCTCAAGTGATGCACCTGCCTCAGCCTCCTGAAGTGCTGGGATTACAGATGTTTACAGATGTGAGCCACCGTGCCTGGCCCCATGGAGCCAATCTTACTGGGTCCTGTCCCCTCCTCCTGTTTGTCTCCAGTGAACCTCAGACTGAGCCAAATGTCCCCTTTGTCAAAGCTCGACCTTTCCCTGGCAATAAAGACCCACTCTACAGGCAAGAGAATGAGCCATGAGCACCACAGTGACATCTGTCTCAATGTTCTTACAACCTGACACTACTGTCTCCTGTGTAAGTCACCCAGAAGCAAAGCCATCCCCGTAGATGTGAAGTAGTGTCTTCTTGTGTTTTGTTTTTTCTTGTTTTTGTTTTTATTTTTTTGAGACGGAGTTTCACTCTGTCTTCAGGCTGGAGTGCAGTGGAGCAATCTTGGCTCACTGCAACCTCCGACTCCCTGGTTCAAGCGATTCTCCTGCCTCAGCCTCCTGAGTAGCTGGGATTACAGGCATGTGCCACCACGCCCAGCTAAATTTTGTATTTTTAGTAAATATGGGGTTTCACCATGTTGGCCAGGATGTTCTCTATCTCTTGACTTTGTGATCTGCCCAGCTTTTCCTCCCAAAGGGCTGGGATTACAGGCATGAGCCACCACGCCCAGCCTTTATTGTGGTTTTCATCTGTATTTCCTTGATGACTAATGAGGTTGAGCATCTTTCCTTGTGTTTATTGAATATTTGCATATCTTGTTTGGAAAAATGTCTATTCAGATCCTTTGTCTAATTTTTATTTATTTTTATTTTTTGAGACAGGGTCTCGCTCTGTTACCCAGGCTGGAGTGCAGTGGCATGATCTCGGCTCACTGCAACCTCCACCTCCTGGATTCAAGCAATTCGCCTGCCTCAGCCTCCTGAGTAGCTGAGACTACAGGCATGTACAGCCTGGCCTGGCTAATTTTTGTATTTTTGGTAGAGACGGCGTTTTACCGTGTTGGCCAGAATAGTCACAAATCCACCTGCCTTGGCCTCCCAAAATGCTGAGATTACAGGCAATAGCCACCTCGCCCGGCCCCTTTGACCTTTTTTTTTTTTTTTTTTAAGACAAAGTCTCGGCCGGGCGCAGTGGTTCAAGCCTGTAATCCCAGCACTTTGGGAGGCCGAGGCGGGTGGATCACAAGGTCGAGAGATCGAGACCATCCCGGTCAACGTGGTGAAACCCCGTCTCTACTAAAAATACAAAAAATTAGCTGGGCATGGTGGTGCATGCCTGTAATCCCAGCTACTCAGGAGGCTGAGGCAGGAGAATTGCCTGAACTCAGGAGGCGGAGGTTGCGGTGAGCCGAGATCGTGCCATTGCATTCGAGCCTGGGTAACAAGAGTGAAACTCCGTTTCAAAAAAAAAAAAAAGACAAAGTGTCACTCTCGCCCAGGCTGGAGTATAGTGGCGTGATCTCAGTTCATTGCAACCTCCTTCTCCCAGATTCAAGTGATTTCCTGCCTCAGCCTCCTGAATAGCTGGGAGGTGCCATCATACCCGGCTAATTTTTGTATTTTTTTTCTTGTTTTTTTTTTTTTTTTTTTTTTTTTTTTTTTTTTTTTTTTTTTATGAGAGGGAGTTTCGCTCTTGTTACCCAGGCTGGAGTGCAATGGCTCGATCTCGGCTCACCGCAACCTCTGCCTCCTGGGTTCAGGCAATTCTCCTGCCTCAGCCTCCTGAGTAGCTGGGATTACAGGCACGCGCTACCATGCCCAGCTAATTTTTTGTATTTTTGGTAGAGACGGGGTTTCACCATGTTGACCAGGATGGTCTCGATCTCTTGACCTCGTGATCCACCCGCCTCGGCCTCCCAAAGTGCTGGGATTACAGGCTTGAGCCACCGCGCCCGGCCTTTCTTGGTTTTTAAGATGGGGTTTCACCATGATGGCCAGGCTGGTCTTGTTTGGACTCCTGACCTCAGGTGATCCATCCACCTCGGCCTCCCAAAGTGCTAGGATTACAGGCATGAGCCGCCCGGCCTAATTTTTGTATTTCTAGTAGAGATGGGTTTCACCATGTTGGCCAGGCTAGTCTCGAACTCCTGACCTCGTGATCCATCTGCTTTGGCCTTCCCAAGTGCTGGGATTACAGGCATGAGCCACTGCTGCTCCTGGCCCCCTTTGACCATTTTTAATGGGGTTATTTGTCTTTTTATTGAGTTGTAAGAGTTGTTTTTTGTGTTTTTTTTTTTGGAGATGGAGTCTTACTCTGTCTCCCAGGCTGGAGTACAGTGCTCACTGCAACCTCTGCTTCCCAGGTTCAAGCGATCCTCCTGCCTCAGCCTCCCAAGTAGCTGGGACTACAGGTGAGCACCACTGCACCCAGCTAATTTTTTTTTTTTTTTTTTTTTTTGAGATTGGAGTCTTGCTCTGTTGTGCTCTGTTGCTCAGGCTGGAGTGCAGTGGCACGATTAGGCTCACCGCAAACTCTGCCTTCAGGTTCAAGCAATTCTCCTGTCTCAGCCTCCCAAGTAACTGGGATTACAGGCACACGCCACCACACTTGGCTAATTTTTTTGTGTTTTTAGTAGAGACAGGGTTTCACCATGTTGGTCAGGCTAGTCTTGAACTCCTGACCGTGATTTGCCAGCCTTAGCCTCCCAAAGTGCTGGAATTACAGGCATGAGCCACTGCACCCGGCCTTTGCCCTATGCATTCTAGGAGCTTTGACGTTTTAGGTCTTACTTGTGGCCTAGCTAGCGAGAAGTGGACGTTCAACCTCATTCTTTTTTTTTTTTTTTTTTTTTTGAGACGGAGTTTCGCTCTTGTTACCCAGGCTGGAGTGCAATGGCGCGATCTCGGCTCACCGCAACCTCCGCCTCCTGGGTTCAGGCAATTCTCCTGCCTCAGCCTCCTGAGTAGCTGGGATTATAGGCACGCACCACCATGCCCAGCTAATTTTTTGTATTTTTAGTAGAGACGGGGTTTCACCATGTTGACCATGGTTGGTCTCAATCTCTCGACCTCGTGATCCACCCGCCTCGGCCTCCCAAAGTGCTGGGATTACAGGCTTGAGCCACCGCGCCCGGCCAGTCAACCTCATTCTTTTACATGGATGTCGTTATTCCAGCACAATTTTGCTAAAAACCTCTTGTTTCCACATCAGATGGTCTCAGGACCCTCTGGAAAAGCAATTGACCATAAATGTAAGGGCTGACATCAGTTCCGTTCCATTAGTCTCTATATTTAGCCTTATGCCAGTACCACACTGTCTTGATTTCCTACACCTTTGCAGTAACTCAGTCCTTTTTTTTTTTTTTTTTTTTTTTTTTTTTGAGATGGAGTCTTGCTCTGTCACCCAGGTTGGAGTGCAGTGGCACGATCTCGGCTCACTGCAACCGATTATCCTGCCTCAGCCTCCCAAGTAGCTGGGACTGCAGGCACCCGCCACCACACGCAGTTAATTTTTGTACTTTTAGTAGAGATAGGTTTTCACCATGTTGGCCAGGATGGTCTCGATCTCTTGACCTCGTGATCTGCCGCCTCGGCCTCCCAAAGTGCTGGGATTACTGACCTGTCCACAGCACCCGGCCAACTGAGTACATTTTAACTAATGCACAAGGGCTGCCCAGGTAGGGGAAGGGTGAGAAACCTGAAAAGGGCCTGTAGTTGTGAGGACTTCATGCACAGGTGCTGGGTGTTCCCTCACCGGTTCCCAGGGCTGAGGGGTCGGCCTGCTCCCCTACATCGGACTGCCTGGACTCCCACTAGCAGGCGCAGCCCTCAAAGCTCGAGACTTTCATTGGAAGGGTTCCTGGGCTGGGAAAGCGCAAAATGAAGGGATCCTCAGCCTCTGCCTCGCCCTCCGCTCCTTCCCCACCCCATTTCCTGGGAGGTGTGGTCTCTTTATGGCAAGTTACCTCCGCCCCACGCCCGGGGCTGTAGACCCTGAGCGGGGAAACCTGAACCCGGAAAGAGGGCATCCGGGCTGTGCAAATTTCAGACACGCGAATGTCCCGCGGCGCCTGCGGCAGGAGCCCGGCCCGGGTGCTGGACGGTCCTCGGCCACGCCCGCCGCCCCGCCATCCCGAGGCCTGGCTCCTTCCCCACCCGACGGAATCCCGGGGAGGCTGGAAGGTGGGTCCCGTCGCGCCGCCCGGGGCCTGCCCTCCCGGGCCGCGGCGCTCGGCCCAGTCCCAACATCATCGCCACCGGTCCGGGCCGCAGGACGCGGCGCCTGGGGGAGCGGAGCGGCGTCTCCGCCGGGCCCATGCAAGAGGGTGAGCGGGCTCCCCGGGTCCCACTGCCTCGGAGGGGTCCCCTCCTCGCCCGGTCCCCTCTAGCGCCGTCGCAGACCCCCTGCCGGGGCCCCTGAACCCTTCCTGCCTGGGCAGGCTCAGTGCGGTGAGGATCTAGAAAAGTCTTCCTGTACCAGTCCTGGTCTGCCCTGGGGCCTGGGTGATGACCCCCACGCCCGAGGGCACTCGGACTCCTGGCTGGACATTTCAAGGCAGGCACAGCTGGGAATCCCAGCAGCCCCACTCAGAGGAACTCTGCCCCAGGGTGGGTGGAACACCCGAGTGGAAAACAGATTTCGGGGCAGAACTGCAGGGATGGGCAGGGTGAGAGTATGGCATGAGGTCGGGGTTGCCTGTCCCAAACCCTTCCTGGTTCCTCAGGGAATGTGGGGGGACAAGGGAAAGGGAGAGAGTGACTTGCCCCAGCCAGCCCACCTCTGGGGCTGCCTCCCTCCTCCCCTAGCCAGCCACAGGGTTGAGGGTTCCTCAGTCCCAAGGTCAAGCTTGCCCTTGGTGCTCTCTGCTGGGCAGGAGCCCTTCTGCTGCCGTCCTGGGCCCTGGGCTCCAGCTCAGGAGCCTGCTTGATACGGGATCTGGGGAGGGAGGGGTCCCCAGGGCCTGCCTCATTTCCAGCCCTGGGCTCTGTCACCATGGGAGGAGAGCAGGGAAGAGAAAGAGGGAGTCCCCTCGACTGTAGACACCAGGCCCCTGGCCCCAGACCCCTGCGTCAGCTCTCCCCTGTGACTAGGCCTTCCAGCTCCAGTAACAAAGAAAGGATTCCCAGGGCCTATCAGATGAGGCACCCTGAAAATGTAGGCTGGGCTTCCGTGAGATGGGAGGAGGACCAGAAATATGATTTAAATTTCACCCTGCTCACACACCCAGCTTGATGGCACTTGGCTATGAAGCTGGTCTCATTGGGCCTAAGGGTCTCTGAGAGCTGAGCCTGGAAGTGAGAGTGAAGCATCTTGCACTATGTCCCTCCTTGCCCAAAGTACACACCAGGCAGTGACCATGACTCATGGTTCCCAGTACAAAGAAAAGACCACTTCCCACGTGGGGCAGAGGCCAAGTCAGAGCCCCAGCCCCTTCGCCTCTCTGCTCTGCTTGAGTCTGGAATGGACCTGCCTGCCTGGAAGCTGCATTGCCCTTGGTCCTGGGCCTGCCCGCCCCCTGGGGAACACAGGTGGGTCACATTCATCTCCTCTTTTGTGCTCAGCCAGAGGGTGGGTGGGGGTTCATGAACAGGTTCTGCTCATAGTGTGGAGGGGGGTGGGAGGGGTAGGGACGACAATAAACAAGGGGATGATCCACTCTAGTGTGGTCTGAAGACCACTATTAAAGTGAGAAAACAGGCCAGGCACAGTGGCTCACACCTGTAATCCCAGCACTTTGAGAGGCCAAGGCAGGCGGATCACTTGAGTCAGGAGTTCAAGACCAGCCTGGTGGACATAGCAAAACCCCGTCTCTACTAAAAATACAAAAATTAGCCTGGCATAGTGGCACCTGCCTTTATACAGGCACCTGCACCTTTAATCCCAGGTACTCCGGAGGCTGAGGCAGGAGAATTGCTTGAACCCGGGAGGCAGAGATTGCAGTGAGCTGAGATTGCACCACTGCTCTCCAGCCTGGAAGACAGAGTGAGATGCCATCTCAAAAAAAGAAAGAAAGAAAGAAAGAAAACAGGAAGGGGGCGTAGCCCAGCCTGGGGTAGGCATCAGGGTAGCCTCCCAGGTATGCTGCTAGGGCTGAATCTTCTTTTAAGACTACTCAGGAGTGGTAGTGGGAAGCCGGGAAAACGTAGAACAAGTAGTTTGATCAGTACCTGCCTGTGAACAGTCAACTGAAATAACTCACTACCAGACCAGCCTAAGGGCTGAGTTTTGAAGGATCAATCGGCTTCTCTCTGGCTAAGAATTCCGGAGCCACAGCAGCCAAGGTCAGCAGGAGAAACCGCTGGCTGGGAGGGGAGGCTGGGCATCTACACCATGTATCTGAGCTGGGACTTGCTGGGAGTGGGAGAGGAGACCAGGAAGGCCAAGTCTGCAAGGGGAATCCCAGAGGGAGGTTGGGGAGGGGAGTCCTCAGACCTTGGTATAAGGGCTTTTTTTTTTTTTTTGAGACGGAGTTTCGCTCTTGTTACCCAGGCTGGAGTGCAATGGCGCGATCTCGGCTCACCGCAACCTCCGCCTCCTGGGCTCAGGCAATTCTCCTGCCTCAGCCTCCTAAGTAGCTGGGATTACAGGCAAGCACCACCACGCCCAGCTAGTTTTTTTGTATTTTTAGTAGAGACGGGGTTTCACCATGTTGACCAGGATGGTCTCGATCTCTCGACCTCGTGATCCACCCGCCTCGGCCTCCCAAAGTGCTGGGATTACAGGCTTGAGCCACCGCGCCCGGCCTGGGCTTTTTTTTTTTTTTTTGAGACAGTCTCTCTCTGTTGCCCAGGCTGGAGTGACACCATCTCAGCTCACCACAGCCTGCCTCCCAGGTTCAAGTGATTCTCCTGTCTTAGCCTCCCAAGTAGCTGGGCCTACAGGTGTGCGCCACCACGCCAGGTTAATTTTTGTATTTTTAGTAGAGATGACGTTTCAGTATGTTGACCAGGCTGGTCTCGAACTCATGACCTCATGATCCACCTGCCTCAGCCTCCCACAGTGCTGGCATTACAGGCGTGAGCCACTGCGCCTGGCCTAGTGGCAGGGCTTCTAGTGTGCAGAGGTGCCTGGGGGTTCCTGGGCTCGGGTTGGCCTGGGGCCTAGAGAGAGGACTTGTTCAGGAACAGCCAGCCCCACTGAAAGGTTCTGGAGGGAAGGTGGAATTCAGAGTGAAGGTCACAGGAGCCTGGGCAAAGTCCCCAAAAACAGTGCCCCAAAAAATGGATGCTGAGAAAAGCTCTTCTCAGAGAAAGAGACTTCTCCATAGACTTCCTGCCAGGTCAGGACATGGTGGATCAAGACTAGGACACGGACCAGAGCTGGGCAGCGGGGAGAGGGAGCAGGGCTGGGGTCCAGCCTCCAGGCCTCCCAAATGCCGCTAGGGCCTTGGGGCCTGGGAGTGCCAGGGCTGGGTGTCAGGAAACAGGGAAAGGCAGGAGAAAGCCAGGAAGGCTGTGGCCTTTCCAGGAGGAAGAGGTTAAAGTGTCAACTGGGAGAGGAAAGAGCTGGGGAGGAGGGGCAAGCTATGGAGCAGGGCTGGAAACTTGACATTGGGGCAAGACACAAGATCAGGTGGCGCCTGTGGCCTTTCCGTTTGCTGAGGGAACAGAAATCGTGGGAGAGGCGAGGGCTAGTTTGCTGGAGAAGCCCCATCTGCGAATATTTCCCAACCTGAAGCTAGGCCAGGAGGAGGGCCAGGCTGGGAGGATCTCTAGCCAGACTTCCCATGCAGAGGGCAGGAGGGCAGGCGGTGCTGCACCCTGCACAAGGGTCTCGAACCCTCTCACCCCAGGCTGTGATGAATGGGACACTCACCTTGGCAGGGCTCCCACGCTCCTCTGGGAGGGCCGAGGATTGGAGATGGAGAAGGAGGTAGTTCAGGGTGGGGCCGGCTTAGGTGCTGCTTCAAAATTCCTTGGCCTGGGGGAAGTATTGAGGTGGTGGGCTTGGCAGGAAGAGGGGGTTTCATGTTTCTGGCAGTTTTCCAAGTTTCTCCGGATCTTCCCAGGACCTGGGGTGAAAGGGAGGGAGGCTGTGGAACAGCAGCTCTGGGATGCTTGGGCTTCACTGAGGTGGAGGCTGCTCTGGGTAGCGTCTGCTGCAGCCTAGAGCCCCCAGGCCATGAGGTCTGGGGGGGCAGGGCACAGGAGGCAGGACTCAAGGGGGTTGAAAAAGGGGTACAAACTTGGGAGGGGACCTTGGGACTTGGAGGCCAGGTGGTGGCAGCTTCTGTGATGAGAGTGGCCTGGCTGGTATTCAGCAAAGATAGGACTGGCTGCACCTTGCTGAGCCAAAGATGTAAGACGTGTGTGTGTGTGTGTGTGTGTGTGTGTGTGTGTGTTCGCACATGTGCACGTTTGCATAGTGTGTGACTGTGTGTTTGTGTGTGTCTTTGTCTAGCATGTGTGACTCTGGGTATGTCTGTATGTGTGTACATGTGCGTGGGTCTCTGTTTCTCTGTGTGTAACTGTGTGTGTGTCTAATGTGCCTTGTGTACCTGCTTGTATGACTCTGTGTGTGAGTTCATCTGCGTGCATCGTGTGGGACGGTGTGTATCTCTGTGTTTTCATAAGTATCTACGTGTCTGTGTAGTACGTGTCTGTCCCTGTCTCTTCGTGTCTCTGGACTTTTTTTGTGTCTATGTAAGTGTGTCTTTACGTGAGTTTGTGTGCCTGTGTGGTCTTTGTGTGGGTCAGTGGATATCCGTATATGTGACTGTGTGTCTCTGTGTGTGTGCATGTGTCTGTATGTCTCTGTGCTTGTCTGAGTGTATGCTGTGACTGTGTCTGTGTGTGACTGGGGGTATGTGTGTGTGTGTATGTGTGTGGCAGGGGTACACAGAGAAGCTCTTGCAGGCAGTTGATCATTGTTCTGTGTGATCGCTTAACTTGAGTCTCAGCCTTGAGCTGTGTGTTGCAGGGCGATTGCAAAGGGGCCAGTGGGAAAGGCTTGGGGGCATGGGGGTGGATGAGACCCAGGCTTTCTCCAAAGCTGCTGGTTGGGTAGTTGTTAAAGTCTTTTGTGTACACTCTGTGGCTGCACCCAGCACCGGCCCGCTTACTCCCGCCTTCACAGTGGCACCAATAGTAACTTCGCTGCTTCTAAGGCATTGCAAAAGTCCGTGTTCGTATACAAGAAGCCTGGGCATGAGTGTCTGAAATGTATCCGTGTGTGCATTTGGGGACATTGGGACCACACTTACCCCAGAGGTCTGCTGCATTCTACAAGCAGTGACTGAGTGGGCCAGGAGGTCCCCTGCTGACTTCTAAGTGATGTGACAATGAGAAACAATTGCACCCCGTTGCCTGGTGCCACCTGCCCTGCCCCATCCTTTCCCTCCTGTCCTTCCTGCCACCTCCTGCCAGGCTGGCTCTGGGAAGTGGGTGAAAGGAGATGCCAAGGCCAACGCATGGGCCTCTGGCCACCTCCCAGGGGCGGTGCCCCTCTGTGACACCTGGTACTGGGGCATAAGGAAGGGACGGCCTCAGCTGCCCAAAGAAGGTGGCAGGTAGGCCAGGAGAGACGGGCAGCCTGCATCAGGCTCCATTCTGTCCCCTCCCCAGGCAGTGGTCACAGTGGCAGTGAAGCCGTGGCAGCATCAGCAGCAGAGGATGCCCCAGGCCCTGGAGCGTGCAGATGGCAGCTGGGCCTGGGTGGTGCTTCTGGCCACCGTGGTGAGCCAGGGCCTCACCCTGGGCTTCCCCACATGTATTGGCATCTTCTTCACTGAACTGCAGTGGGAGTTCCAGGCCAGCAACAGCGAGACCTCTTGGTTCCCCTCCATCCTCACGGCTGTGGTCCACATGGCAGGTGAGTGGCCTGGGGAGGGGCCGATGAGATAAGGCCTAAGGGTGGGGAGGAAGCCACAGCCTCCCTGACCTCCTGGTTTCCTCTCTCTGAGGCCACAGGCTTTGCCTCCTGGGTGAATTCCTAAGATTTCACCTGATTTCAGTGGGGCCCCTGGCTGGAATCCAGCTGGACTGGGCTGGAGCTCGAGAGAGAGTGCGGAGAGTTGGGGGAGGTGCCTGGGAAGCAGAGACAGGCAGAACCTTGTGTACTTTCTTTGGGATCCATCCAGACATAGACGTAGGTGTGCTGGGGCGCTCAGTGCCAGGCTGGGAGGAGCGCTGGGGCCACCCGACTAAGACTCTCCTGCTTTCCAGCTGGGCGGTCTCTCTGAACCTCAGTTGCTTCCTCTGCAATCCAAGGGTAATGCCTGTCATCCCGCCCAGCTCCACATAGCATAGCAGGGAAGACCACTGTCTTCCCTGGAGGTGCTGGCAGCTGGGAAATGTGTGCAGCTGGGAATGGTTAATATTTTGGAGACCCGGCCGGGCGCGGTGGCTCAAGCCTGTAATCCCAGCACTTTGGGAGGCTGAGGCGGGTGGATCACGAGGTCGAGAGATCGAGACCATCCTGGTCAACATGGTGAAACCCCGTCTCTACTAAAAATACAAAAAAATTAGCTGGGCATGGTGGCACGTGCCTGTAATCCCAGCTACTCAGGAGGCTGAGGCAGGAGAATTGCCTGAACCCAGGAGGCGGAGGTTGCGGTGAGCCGAGATCGCGCCATTGCACTCCAGCCTGGGTAACAAGAGCGAAACTCCGTCTCAAAAAAAAAAAAAAAAAAAAAAAAAATATTTTGGAGACCCTCACTGGGGCAGGGAGTGGCTTCGGGATAGGAAAGGGGATGCAAGGAAGATACCAGAAACAAGAGGGGGACAAGGTCAAAGCCTCATCTCCCCCGGGACTCCCTGTGGGGAGGAGGTTGCAGAGTTGGGGTGATGGAGGAAGGCAGGCCCTGCCCGTCTCTTCTCCTGGCTCTGTCACCACAGGCCTCAGAGGGTCCTGTTCCTGGCTGGCTTTTCCAGGAGCCTGATGCCTCACCGACCCTAGCGTTGGGAGCTGGGCAGAGGGAGGGTTCTCTGCAGTAGCCCTGGACCCAGGGACCTGCCCTCGTCTCCTGGGAGCTCTCCAGGGAGACTGCACAGACCCTGGCCTTGGAGGAGCCTAGTGGACAGGAGCCTGAGCTGATGGCCCACAGCTCTCTGCAGGCATGTGTTTGCTGGCCGCGGCTGCCCATCTCCCCAGCTACCTCCCGGCCACTCCCTCCACTTGCCACCAGCAGCCAGCTTGTTATTCCAGGTCCTGCCCTCAAACCAGGAGGGAGGGCAGGCTGGGAGAGAGCACCACCTGGGTGAGCTCTGAAGCTGCCTCATGGCCTCTGGCCTGCAGGGTTGGGGCAGGGAGTGGGGATCCCAGAGGGTGTCTTCTCACACAGGCAGAGCAGGGCATGGGCCAGGGGCTAGGAACCGGGCATCCGGTGGGGAACCAACTCCCCAGCCGACTCTGGGCTCACCACCCCCTAGCAGGCATCTCGGCATCTCCATCGGCGTGGGATTCCTGGCCGGACAGTTCTCATGTACATGAGTCCATACTCATTCAGAGTACTGCAGCCATTTTATTTGGTTTATCTTTATTTATTTGCTTATTTTTATTTATTATTATTATTATTTTTTTGTTTGTTTGTTTGTTTTTTGCTTTGTTTTGTTTTTTTTGTTTTTGAGACGGAGTTTCGCTGTTGTTACCCAGGCTGAAGTGCAATGGCGCGATCTCGGCTCACCGCAACCTCCGCCTCCTGGGTTCAGGCAATTCTCCTGCCTCAGCCTCCTGAGTAGCTGGGATTACAGGCACGCGCCACCATGCCCAGCTAATTTTTCGTATTTTTAGTAGAGACGGGGTTTCACCATGTTGACCAGGATGGTCTCGATCTCTCGACCTCGTGATCCACCTGCCTCAGCCTCCCAAAGTGCTGGGATTACAGGCTTGAGCCACCGCGCCCGGCCTATTATTATTTTTAAAGATGGCGTTTCACCATGTTGGTCAGGCTGGTCTTGAACTCCCAACCTTAGGTGATCCTCCCACCTTGGCCTTCAAAGTGCTTGGATTACAGGCGTGAGCCACCATGCCCGGCCCTTATTTGCTTATTTTTGAGACAGGGTCTCCCTTTGTCACCTGTGCTGGAGTGCAGTGGTGTGATCACAGCTCACTATAGCCTTGACCTCCCAGGCTCAAGCAATCCCCTCACCTCAGCCTCCCAAGTAGCTGGGACTACAGGTGTGCACCACCATACCCAACTAATCAACTAATGTTTTTACTTTCCGTAGAGACGGGGTCTCACTATGTTGCTCAGGCTGGTCTCAAACTCCTGGGCTCAAGTGATCTACCTGCCTGGGCCTCTCAAAGTGCTGGAATTATGGGCATGAGCCACGGCACCTGACCACAGTATTGCAGAAATTTTTCTTTTCTTTTTTTTTTTTTTTTTTTTTTTTTTCTTGAGACAGAGTTTCGCTCTTGTTACCCAGGCTGGAGTGCAATGGCGCGATCTCGGCTCACCGCAACCTCCGCCTCCTGGGTTCAGGCAATTCTCCTGCCTCAGCCTCCTGAGTAGCTGGGATTACAGGCATGTGCCACCATGCCCAGCTAATTTTTTGTATTTTTAGTAGAGACAGGGTTTCACCATGTTGACCAGGATGGTCTCGATCTCTTGACCTCGTGATCCACCCGCCTCGGCCTCCCAAAGTGCTGGGATTACAGGCTTGAGCCACCGCATCCGGCCTAGAAATTTTTCAACATGATGAATCATGGATACTTTCACTGCCCCTGCCCCTACACCTTTTAGAGGTAAGGCAAACAAGCAGGCACAAAGTAAAAGACCTGCCCAAGGCTGCAGAGTGAGTTCACTGCCCTGCAGAGGAAACACCCTGCCTCCGCCCGCCCTGCTACTACACCCTCAGCTATGCAGCTGGCCAGCAGCCCTGTCCTGATGACTCAGGGCTTTCCCCAATGTCACCTTCCCTAAGTCAGGCCAAAGTCTCTGGTATGGGGAAGATCTGTGGGTCGGTCCTCTTCAGAGCCACCTCCCCGTCTACAGGGGCAGAGATGCTGGGCCACCAGCCTCTGCTTGATTATGTCTGAGGACGGGCTGCTCACTTACTCCATAGCTTTTTTTTTTTTTTTTTGGACACAGAGTCTTGCTCTGTGGCCCAGGCTGGAGTGTAGTGGCCTGATCTCGGCTCACTGCAACCTCCACCTTCTAGGTTCAAGTGATTCTCTTGCCTCAGCCTCCCGAGTAACTGGGACTACAGGCACATGCCACCACACCCAACTAATTTTTTTTTTTTTTTTTGAGACAGCGTCTCACTCTGTTACCAGGCTGGAGTGCAGTGGCATGATCTTGGCTCACTACAGCCTCCCCCTCTGGGTTCAAGTGATCCTCCTGCCTCAGCCTGCCAAGTAGCTGGGACTGCAGGCACACACCACCAGGCCCAGCTAATTTTTGTATTTTTAGTAGAGACAGGGTTTCACCATGTTGACTAGGATGGTCTCGATCTCCTAACCTTGTGATCCGCCTGCCTTGGCCTCCCAAAGTGCTGGGACTTTGCCCGGCCTAATTTTTGTATTTTTAGTGGAGATAGGAGTTCACCATGTTACTTAGGCTGGTCTCGAACTCCTGACCTCAGGTGATCTGCCTGCCTTGGCCTCCCAAAGTGCTGGGATTACAGGCGTAAGCCACCGCGCCCGGCCCACTCTGTCACTTTTTTTTTTTTTTTTTTTTGAGACGGAGTTTCGCTCTCGTTACCCAGGCTGGAGTGCAATGGCGCGATCTCGGCTCACCGCAACCTCCGCCTCCTGGGCTCAGGCAATTCTCCTGCCTCAGCCTCCTAAGTAGCTGGGATTACAGGCACGCACCACCATGCCCAGCTAACTTTTTGTATTTTTAGTAGAGACGGGGTTTCACCTTGTTGACCAGGATGGTCTCGATCTCTCGACCTCGTGATCCACCCGCCTCGGCCTCCCAAAGTGCTGGGATTACAGGCTTGAGCCACCGCGCCCGGCCACTCTGTCACTTTTTATACTCACACTGGCTCACACTACCCATCCCCCTCCACCCCAGACACACATAGGTATCTCATGCACACACACTTCCCCCATCCTTTTAGTTGCACTCTTGGAGAGTGAGTTAGAGAAGCTCCACAAGTGCTTGGGTGAATGCGGCCCCTGCGAGGTGCCAAAGAGCAGTCCCCAGCTCTTTTCTACTTTTCTGGGGTGTGGATTGGTGAGAAAGCATTTGGGAGCCGGGCAAGAAACAGGCCCCTGTCCACATGCAGCCAAACCTCTAGGTGCAGACTTTGGTGGTGCTGGAGGTGGTGTGGGAGCGGAGTATGTACCCTGCCTGATTTTCCGCAGCACACTCTAGAGGCCAAGGAGGTGTGAAGGGGCCCAGGGCTCCCCAAACTGTAGGGCTGGGAAGGTGGTGGGAGGGTGGTGGCCAGTCTTCCTGAGGATGTGGTGGGGGGAGGTGGGGCAGGTAAAACAGGTGGACACTGTGATCTAGATGTCCTGGAACACTGCCCCAACTCCTCCCACCAGCAGACCCCCAGCGAAGTGGGGGAGGTGGTGAAGTCATGAACCAATCCTGTTTCACCCAGATAGAATGAGCAGTCTCAGCCGGGAGCAGTGGCTCATATCTGTAATCCCAGCACTTTGGGAGGCCGAGGAGGGCAGATCACGAGGTTAGGAGATCGAGACCATCCTGGCTAACATGGTGCAACCCTGTCTCTACTAAAAATGCAAAAAAAATTAGCCGGGCATGGTGGTGCACGCCTGAAGTCCCAGCTACTCGGGAGGCTGAGGTAGGAGAATTGTTTGAACCCGGAGGCAGAGGTTGCAGTGAGCCAAGATCACACCATTGCACTCCAGCCTGTGCAACAGAGGGAGACTCTGTCTCAAAAAAAAAAAAAAAAAAAAAAAAGAATGAGTAGCCTCAGGGTGGTGCCATGCAGGGCCTTGGTTGACCTTTCTGGGAATCCTCATCAGGGTCAAACGTCGTCCAGTCTGAATCCTCACTCTGTGGGGAGAAAACTGAGGCACGGAGAGGGATCAGGCCTTGCTCGGGCCACATGGCCAGTCTGCAGCAGGTGGGCATCAGAATCCAGTCCTGTTCCTTGAAACCACCTGGCTATCCCTGCTGGAACTGCCCTCCCCCTGCCCCACTCTCCTCCTCGTCCCCTGCCCCCTCCTCATTCAGCTGCCACCTGCTGGCTGTCTTGTCCCACAGGGCCCCTGTGCAGCATCCTGGTGGTACGCTTCGGCTGCCGAGTGACTGCGATGCTGGGAGGCGTGCTGGCCAGTCTGGGCATGGTGGCTGGCTCCTTCTCCCGCAGCCTCAGCCAGCTCTACTTCACAGCAGGATTCATCACAGGTGACTATTATTCCATCTCCAGAATTTATAGGCACCTGCTAGAAAGTGTTGGGCACACAGGCATGGTGGCTTATGCCTGTAATCCCAGCACTTTCGGAGGCCGAGGCAAGAGGATCACAAAGTCAGGAGTTTGAGACTAGCCTGGCCAACATGGAGAAACCCCATCTCTACTAAAAATACAAAAGTTAGCCAGGCGTGGTGGTGGGTCCCTGTAGTCCCAGCTACTTGGGAGGCTGAGGCAGGAGAATCACTTGAACCCGGAAAGCAGAGGTTGCCAAGATCGCACCACTGCACTCCAGCCTTGGCAACAGAACAAGACTCCATCTCAAAAAAAAAAAAAAAAGACAGGCCGGGCGTGGTGGCTCATGCCTGTAATCCAAGCACTTTGGAGGCCAAGGCAGGCGGATCACCTGAAGTCGGGAGTTCAAGGGGATCAGCCTGATCAAGATGGGGAAACCATATATATATATATATATATATATATATATATATATTTTTTTTTTTTTTTTGAGACGGAGTTTCGCTCTTGTTACCCAGGCTGGAGTGCAATGGCGCGATCTCGGCTCACTGCAACCCCCGCCTCCTGGGTTCAGGCAATTCTCCTGCCTCAACCTCCTGAGTAGCTGGGATTACAGGCACGCGCCACCATGCCCAGCTGATTTTTTGTATTTTTAATAGAGACGGGGTTTCACCATGTTGACCAGGATGGTCTCGATCTCTTGACCTCGTGATCCACCCGCCTCGGCCTCCCAAAGTGCTGGGATTACAGGCTTGAGCCACCGCGCCCGGCCCTTATATTTTTTAATATTAAAAAAAAATTAAAAAAAAAAAAAAGACAAAGTGCTGGAATTACAGGTGTGAGCCCATCGCACCCAGCCCTTCCACAGCATTTTGTTGTAAGGGGACCGGAGGAATGGACTATATCCAGAAGTGGTTATGAGGTCAAGAGAGGGTTGTTTTTTTTTTTTAATGGGAGAAATAATGAAGGAGAATGATCAAGGAAAGAGAAAAGGGATGATGCAGGAGAGAAGGGACCTGCTAGAGAGGTGCCTCTGAGTGGAGAGGGTGCAGGGCAGAAGGGAGGGACAGCCACTGGGGCATGGGCAGGCCATTGTCACCAGTGGGCATGTGGACAGCTGAGCATGAGGACAGGGAGGAAGTGTTGGGATGCACAGAGGAGAAGACCCAGTACTCACGCAGCAGGGCAGGCGAGGGGTGACTGAGGGAGCTGTACTGGCGGCACAGGCAGCCTGAGGCCATGGTCACACGTGATTGAGAGCTTTCTCTCCAGCATGCTCAGGTGTGCAGGTGCAGACACTGAGTGGGTGGGGAGCTGGGAAGGCCCCTCTGGAGAGGTGGCGGCTGAATTGAGAGGAGCACGGAAAATCTGGAGGAAGCAGATTCCAAGCAGAAGGAACAGTAGCTACAAATGTCTCGAGGTAGGGGCAGCTTCATGTCCAGAGGCAGATCATAGTGAGTGACAGGGAGTGGCCTGAGATGGCATCTGAGGGGTGGGCTGGAGCCAGACCACAGAGAGCCTTCCAGCGCATCGTGGATACTTTGGATCTGTTTTCAAGTGGGATGGGAAGTCTTTGGAAGGTGTTAAGCCAAGAGAGAACCTAATCCAGTTTGGGAGTTGGTTTGTTTTTGAGACAGAATCTCGCTCTGTTGCCTAGGCTGGAGTACAGTGGCAATATCTTGGCTCACTGCACCCTCCACTTCCTGGGTTCAAACAATTCTCCTGACTCAGCCTCCCAAGTAGCTGGGACTACAGGCACCTACCATTATGCTCAGCTAATTTTTGTATTTTTAGTAGAGAGGAGGTTTCACTATGTTGGCCAGGATGGTCTCAAACTCCTGAGCTCAAGTGATCCGCCAGCCTCAGCCTCCCAAAGTGCTGTGATTACAGGAATGAGCCACGGCGCCCAGCCCAATTTGGGTTTTTAAAAGATAACTCTCATGCTACACCAAGGGGAACAGGAATGCCCTGGCAGCCTTGGGAGAGCAGATCTGGGAAGGGGTGCTTACAGGGAGGTGGTGAGGCCAGCTGATTCCATCTTCAGTCCCCGGGGACTTAGACCTGAGTATGGACTAGAACCAGAGGAGGGCAGGTGTGTGGAATGGGCCGACACCACCCCTGGGTGCAGGTGGAAGGCCCCAGCATGCTTCCAGGCTGGTCTTCCCTCTTGCCCCGCAGGCCTGGGCATGTGCTTCAGCTTCCAGTCGAGCATCACGGTGCTGGGCTTCTACTTTGTCCGCCGGCGGGTGCTGGCCAACGCACTGGCCTCTATGGGCGTCTCCCTGGGCATCACGCTCTGGCCGCTGCTCTCCCGCTACCTCCTGGAGGATCTGGGCTGGAGGGGTACCTTCCTTGTCTTTGGTGGGGTCTTTCTCCACTGCTGCATCTGCGGGGCCGTCATGAGGCCTGTGGCCACCAGCATAGCCCCTGAGACCAAAGAATGTCCCCCGCCACCTCCCAAGACACCTGCGCTCGGCTGCCTGGCTGCCTGTGGCCAGACCATCCAGCGCCACCTGGCCTTCGACATCCTGCGGCACAACACAGGCTACCGCGTGTACACACTGGGCGTGATGTGGTCAATCCTGGGCTTCCCACTGCCACATGTCTTCCTGGTGCCATATGCCATGCGGCACAGAGTGGACGAGCAGCAGGCAGCCCTCCTCATCTCCATCATTGGCTTCAGCAACATCTTCCTGCGGCCCCTAGCTGGGCTGGTGGCAGGACGGCGGGCCTTTGCCAGCCACCGCAAGTACCTGTTCAGCCTGGCGGTCCTGCTCAACGGGCTCACTAATCTGGTGTGCGCGGCATCAGCCGACTTCTGGGTGCTTGTGGGCTACTGCCTGGTGTACAGCGTGTCCATGAGTGGTATCGGCGCCCTCATCTTCCAGGTCCTCATGGACATCGTCCCCATGGATCGTTTCCCCAGCGCCCTGGGACTCTTCACTGTCCTGGAAGGTCTTGCTTTCCTCATCTCCCCGCCACTGGCAGGTGAGGAGCTGGGAAGGAGGGCAGCCAGGTAGTGTGGTAAAAGGAGAACAGTCTAGACAGCTCTGGGCCCTGTTCAGCATCTCCAGGGGGTGTGCTACAGCCGGTTTTCCACCTGGCACTCAGGGTACAAACAGCTGAAAGCATGGCTTTGTGTACCAGACCTCAGTCCTCTTTTTTTTTTTTTTTTTTTGAGACAGAGTTTCGCTCTTGTTACCCAGGCTGGAGTGCAATGGCGCGATTTCGGCTCACCGCAACCTCCGCCTCCTGGGTTCAGGCAATTCTCCTGCCTCAGCCTCCTGTCCTTTTTTTTTTTTTGAGACATGGAGTCTCACTCTGTCACCCAGGCTGGAGTGTACTGGCACAATCTTGGCTCACTGCAACCTCTGCCTCCTGGGTTCAAGTGATTCTCCTGCATCAGCCTCCTGAGTAGCTGGGACTACAGGTGTGTGCCACCACGCCTGACTAATTTTTTTGTATTTTTAGTAGAGATGGGGTTTGACCATGTTAGCCAGGATGGTCTCAATCTCCTGACCTCATGATTCGCCCACCTCATGGCCTCCCAAGGTGTTGGGATTACAGGCGTGAGCCACTGTGCCCGGTGCATCCAAGGGAATTTTTTTTTCTTTTTTTTTTTTTTTTTTTCGTTTAGACGGAGTCTCACTCTGTCACCCAGGCTGGAGTGCAGTGGTGTGATCTCAACCCACTGCAATTGCTGTTGCCCGGATTCAAGTGATTCTCCTGCCTCAGCCTCCCAAGTAGCTGGGATTACAGGCGCCTGGGATTACCATCACGCCTGGCTAATTTTTACAGTTTTAGTAGAGACGAGGTTTCATCATCTTGGCCAGGCTGGTCTTGAACACCTGACTTCGTGATCCACCCACCTCAGCCTCCCAAAGTGCTGGGATTATAGGCTTGAGCCACTGTGCCTGGCCACAAGGGAATTCTTCTTTTTCCTTTTTAATTTTTTTTGTTTGTTTGTTTAAATAAAGATGGGGTTTCACCATGTTGGTCAGGCTGTTCTTGAACTCCCAACCTCAGGTGATCCGCCCACCTTGGCCTCCAAAGTGTTTGGATTACAGGCGTGAGCCACCCCACCCAGCCGGGAATTCTTTAAGCAAACAAGTTGGGAGAGCTCTCCAGAAGGAGACTTAGGAGAGATCTGGAGGGTGGCTGAGCAAAAATTCCATTAGTTCCCTACCACCAAGGGTCAGCAGGTCATGTCCCTGAGTTATCTTGCAGCCTGAGGACTCTTCCTGCCCAGGCCAGAAGGGTTTAGTGTTTCTTCCCCTCCTTTCATTCAACAAGTATCTGTTGCATGTCTACTGGGTGTCAGCCACAATTCCTAGTACGGCAGAGACAAAAATAAAATCCCCGCTGTCAGGGAACACACTGGTTGGGGGGAGGCCCGGTAGCACTGGCCTAACTTGATCTCTATCCGCCAGGGCTCCTCCTGGACAGCACCAACAGCTTCAGCTATGTTTTCTACATGTCCAGCTTCTTCCTCATCTCGGCTGCCCTCTTCATGGGCAGTAGCTTCTATTCCCTGCAGAAGAAGGAGCGGCAAGGCAAGCAGGCTGTCGCGACGGATGCCTTGGAGCAGGATCTTTTTTTGGAAGGCAAAGACGGTTCTGGGAAGCAACCATGCCCTGAGATCATGTATGTGACCAGCGTCTAAGACCTAGGGGTCACCTATGTGACCAATGTCTGAGTCCTGAGGTTACTGAGTGAACAGTCTCAGCCCAGGAGGTGGACCTCCAGCTCCTTGACCAGGGGATCTGGTGAAGAGCAGCCCAGGAAGCTCGGGCTGTCAAGGCTCTGCAAGCTGGGCCTCTACCAGGAGCTGGGACCTTGGAGCCTGGCCTCTGAAGACGCCCTGAGGGACCATTTTCTTTTTTTCTTTCTTTGAGATGGAGTCTTGTTCTGTCACCCAGGCTGGAGTGCAGTGGCACAATCTCAGCTCACTGCAACTTCCACCTCCTGGGTTCAAGCAGTTCTCCTACCTCTGCCTCCCGAGTAGTTGGGATTACAGGCATGTGCCACCACGCCCGGCCAAATTTTGTATTTTTAGTAGAGATGGGTTTTCTCCATGTTGATCAGGCTGGTCTCGAACTCCTGACCTCATGATCCGCCTGCCTTGGCTTCCCAAAGTGCTGGGATTACAGGCATGAACCACCGTGCCCAGCCAGAGGAACCCTTTTCTAATAACTAGCAGAATACAGGAGCAGGCCCTCCCGACTTTTTTCCTTGGGCACCAGGGTACTCAGGGCCCAGGAAGCCACATCTGAGCCCTGCTCAGGTCTGTTCTGGCCGGCTCAGCACAGCTGGCTGTGTGTTGCTGCTCCTACAACTCAACGCACTTGACCTTCATGTCCAGCCTAGATGCCTCCATCATTTCCCGTTGACTTTCTCCGACCTCCAGAGAGTTCTGAAGAGCTCACCGGCCTCCAGGCTCCTCCTGCCCTGCTCTTTCCAAGTGACTCAGCCCTCACCAGTAGGGCAGCCAAGGCTGGTGGTGCAGCTGCCCCCACGAAGGTCACTGGGCCTCGCACCAACGGTGAGAGGCAGTGCAGAGGGCCAGGCTGAGGAGCTGGCTGGCTGGATAGGGACAGATTAAAGGTTTGAGTGGCGTGCCCATCCTGGCGCCTGTGCAGAGAACAGGAGGGGGTCCCCTGACTTGGATCCTAGGATCCCCCCTGCAGTCTCAGCAGCACCTACTCTGTCTAGGGACTTCCTCTTTCCTTTCCCCACCCTGTCTCCTTGGCGGGGAGGATTATTGCTGGGTGGGGGAAGCCAGACATTTGAGGGGAGAGGAGGGCTTGCCAGGCTGCTTGAAGACTGACGTGAAAATGGAACTGCTTCTGCAAGAGAAGTTCTACTCCCCATTCGTGTCTTCTGGAGGCCTCCCTTTCCCCCTGCTGTGTTAGAGGTGTCAACCCTGGGGTAAGTGGCCGGCTGATCCAGCTGCCAGTTCACCCCTGCTCCTCGTACAGCTGTGCCTGTGACATGGCGGTCCGAGCTCCCCCGACACATTTTGCTGGTGCTTTTCCCCATCACCACCCAGGGGCTAGCCGTCATCAGCCCACTCTCGTCCCAGCAGGGTACCGAGAGAATGAGAAAACAGAATGTGTTTGAATTATACACAAAAATGTTCCCTGCAGCAGGTCATAAACTCTGTGAACTAATAAAGCTGGAAAACAGGGCTGGAGTACATTTCCCCATCCCCCTTCCTTTCTTCCCCCCTCAGCAAGGGGTGCTCAGGTTCAGGATGTTGTTTGTTGATTCAGGCTCAACCAGGCTCTGGCAAGAAAACCTCATCAGGAGATTTTCTTTTCATGAGCTGGTGCCAGTCTTCCCGCCCCCGCATGTCCAGCTGGTGTGAATAAGTATCCTTGGGGATGTCCTGCTTCCTCCAGGAGCAGCCATGAGTGTCTCTTGTGGCCAAAGGCGGTACTGCAGGTAAAGCAAAAGGCCTTGGGCAGGAATAGCCCTGAGTGTGTTTGATTCTACCACTATCTGCCATGTGATTTTGGGCAAATTGTTGACCACCTCTGAGCCTTGAAAAAGTAGGAGGTGCCGGGCGCGGTGGCTCAAGCCTGTAATCCCAGCACTTTGGGAGGCCGAGGCGGGTGGATCACAAGGTCGAGAGATCGAGACCATCCTGGTCAACATGGTGAAACCCCGTCTCTACTAAAAATACAAAAAATTAGCTGGGCATGGTGGCGCTTGCCTGTAATCCCAGCTACTCAGGAGGCTGAGGCAGGAGAATTGCTTGAACCCAGGAGGCGGAGGTTGCGGTGAGCCGAGATGGCGCCATTGCACTCCAGGCTGGGTAACGAGCGAAACTCCGTCTCAAAAAAAAAAAAAAAAAAAAAAAAAAGGAAAGAAAAAGTAGGAGGGTACTTTGTTACGGCAAAATAATAAAATTTAATTTAATTTTTAAAAAGAAAACAGGAGGTTCGCCTGGATGAGCTCATCTCTTTCAGTTGAAAAGTCTGACTCAGTGATCGTCCTGAAGACCCCATTGCCTTCCGGCGCCCCACCCAGTCTTACACTTGGCTGCCATCAATAGCACGTGCTCTGAAAGGAGAGTGCTTGCATGTGCTTCTCCAGATCTGTCTTCTCCATCTCAATGGAATGGGAAAGGAGGAAGTTGGGGCTGGTAGATAGGTGCTTTTGGTGCTAGTATCCACCGGGTTTTGAGTGCATCCCGTAAAGGGCCCAATTCCTGAAAACATTTAAAACAGATACCAGCTGGAGATGGTAATGTGCACATGTAATCCCAGCTACTCAGGAGGCTGAGGCAGGAGAATCACTTGAACCTGGGAGGTGGAGGTTGCAGTGAGCTGAGATAGCGCCACTGCACTCCAACCTGGCGACACAGCGAAGCAAGACTTCGTCTCAAAAAGAAAAAGAAAAGGCCAGGCATGGTGACTCACACCTGTAATCTCAGCAGTTTGGGAGGCCAAGGTGGGTGGATCACTTGAGGTTTGAGATGGAGTTTGAGATGGCAAAACCATGACTCTATTAAAAATACAAAAATTAGCCAGGTGTGATGGCAAGCACCTATAATCCCAGCTACTTGGGAGGCTGAAGCAGAAGAATTGCTTGAACCCAAGAGGCAGAGGTTGCGGTTAGCTGGGATCATGCCACTGTACTTCAGCCAGGGTGACAGAATGAGACTCAGCCTCAAAAAAAAACAAAGACAACAATAAAAACGTTTTGGGAGGCCAGGGCAGGAGTATCGCTTGAGACCAGGACTTGAAGACCAGCTAGGCAACATAGAGACCCCATCTCTACAAAAAAAATAAGGAAAGTGGGGGGAAAGCTAAGTGTGGTGGATCATGCCTATAATCCCAACACTTTGGAAGGCCAAGATGGGAGATCACTTGAGAGGCCAGCCTGGGCAACATAAGGAAAACTCCATCTCTACAAAAAGTTTTAAAATTAGCTGGACGAGCGCCGGGCGCGGTGGCTCAAGCCTGTAATCCCAGCACTTTGGGAGGCCGAGGCGGGTGGATCACGAGGTCGAGAGATTGAGACCATCCTGGTCAACATGGTGAAACCCCATCTCTACTAAAAGTGCAAAAAATTAGCTGGGCATGGTGGCGTGTGCCTGTAATCCCAGCTACTCAGGAGGCTGAGGCAGGAGAATTGCCTGAACCCAGGAGGCGGAGGTTGCGGTGAGCCGAGATCGCGCCATTGCACTCCAGCCTGGGTAACAAGGGCGAAACTCCGTCTCAAAAAAAAAAAAAAAAAAAAAAAATTAGCTGGACGTGGTGGCACAGGCCTGTAGTCCAAGCTAATCAGGAGGCAGAGGTAGGAGGATCCCTTGAGCCAAGAAGTTCAAGGTCACAGTGAGCTGTGATCACACCACTGCACTCCAGCCTGGGTGATGAGACCTTGTCCCCCTGCCAAAAAAAAAAAGGCTATCATGAATGTTCTGCATAGGAAACTGACCTCACCTGCTCCTAGGCAAGAGTGGCAATCATCTCTGGGCAGAATTCCTTCAATAAATATTAAGTATCTACTGTGTGCAAGAGACTAGGCAGAGGTAAGACCTACCAAGGGCTGAGAATTCTACCCCAAGGAGGACCCCTCCCTGAGGCCTTAAGAAGGGAGAAGACCAGTGAGGGAGGAGGATGGGAGTGGCCCATCTGATTCTGCAGTCCCCACTTAGCTGACTGCCTTCGAACCTCTAGAGCAGGCGTCCCCAAACTACCGTCCGCGGGCCGCATGTGGCCCCGAGGCCATTTATCCGGCCCCCCGCCGCACTTCAGGAAGGGGCACCTCTTTTATTGGTGGTCAGTGAGAGGAGCACAGTATGTGGTGGCCCTCCAACTGTCTGAGGGACAGTGAACTGGCCCCCTGTGTAAAAAGTTTGGGGACGCCTGCTCTAGAGAAGGTCTGGGGCAGTTCCTGGGTGGGGAGGAAATGAACTTATTTCCATCCTTGCCTCCGTTTATGGGCTCCCCTTTGCTGCTCTGTCCAGCAAGAGGCAGAGAAACCCCTTGGGCACCTTGGGGTAGGATGTACTTCCCAGGCTGCAGAGGCTCCCAACAGAAGCCAAGGGGCTTTGGGGAGGGTCCTGGGACCTAAGCACTCAGACTAAAGTTGAAACTCCTGCCTCCGACGGTGTGCATAGGGCAGGGGCTGATGGCAAGGACCTGAAGCCTCAGAGGTGGGGCTTGCTTCCAGTGGGGCTGCAGCTGGCTGGACTGTGACAGCCACTCTGCCTTCATCCAGGCCCAGGGCTTCAGGTATGGTCCTTGCGTTTGTCAACCTAAATAACAGGCTCTCTCAAAGAAAATGCCATCTCTTTGGGCATAGGGCATTGCAATGGTAATATGCATGGCATAGTAAACTATATGGGTATTCAGGGAGGTAAAGGAAGACAAAGGCTTTAAGGGAAAAATTAGGATTACCTAATTGTTTTGAGATAATTATCGCTAGGTAGAAGGATTCATAACAAGGGTGACCAGTTCAAGGTTGGACAGGCAGTTGCTGGGCAGATGGCCGTGCAGAAGTACGTTTTGTACAAGTTTGTGACGGCCTTTGTACAACGTGGTGGTTTTTGCAGTCTTTGTGATAGTTTTGATTATCAGATATTTACGCATGAGAACTCTCTCGTCGTGGGTTTCTTGGACTCTGCTGGGTTTTTTTTTTTTTTTTATTGCATTTTAGGTTTTGGGGTACATGTGAAGAACATGCAAGATTGTTGCATAGGTACACACATGGCAGTGTGGTTTGCTGTCTTCCGTCCCCTCACCTGTATCTGTCATTTCTCCCCATGCTATCTCTGGGTTTTGTTTTTTAACGCAAGTGACTCCACTTTTGTACTCTCGGGACATGCACAGCCTAAGCCACCTATACCACATTGTCAAACATGACCAGAGTGTGGCAAGGCCACCTCCTTCCCTGGTGCTTTGTTCCCTGTGACCACAAGTAATCCAGCACACATCCGCTTCCTGAGAATCCCCGAGAGGGAACAGGCCGAAGGGCTTCAGCATCCAGAAAGCCCTGAAAGCCCCCTTGAGAGGGCCACATCCAAGGCTCCTCCTCCGGCTCCCCGGTGCTGCCCCAGGCGCGCGCCGTCCACCCGACTGACGAAAAGCCCCAGGACATAACCCAGTCCTCTTGATTTCTGTCCAGAGGTGGCGGACCCACCTCGGGGCTGGGATGGAGGGCGTATCGGGGTCGCCAGGCTTTTTGCAAAAGGGGCAAAGGATCGATGCGGGGCGCAGACAGCTGACGCCCGCGCTCCAAAGGGCCGACCTGGTCAAGGAGGCTGGGCCACGCCCCCGCCAGCCGTGGGGGCCCTGGAGGTGCTTCTGCCTCGACGTCCTGCCACATGGATTCTGGCAGATTCTGCTGCTCCTCGCGGAATTCCAGCCGCCCGACGTGGGCGTCTCACCTTCTGGGCCACGTCGGGGCGGCGGAGGACCCCGGGGAATGGGAGGGAGAGAGGGAAAGGTGGGGCGGGAAAGCCGAGCGAGGCCCTCACCCGCCCTCCTATCTGCTGGGGCAGCAAGTGGGTTTCTTTCTTACGTTCAGATTTTGCAGTAATTTGCAGCTGGAAACGAGATATGGGAAACTAGGCTGCTCCTCGCAGTAAACCCACCCACGCCCGCACCTGTCTCAGCGAAGCCGCTCGCAGCTGGCTGCAGCCCAGGCTGACGGGCTTCCGCATCCAGTAAAAACGTAACCGCGCGAAGTACGCGCGCCAAGGAGTTCGTCGGCGGCCCCGCCCCGGACCCGCCCTTCCGCACTGGCCCCGCCCCTTCCGCCTCATTAAGGGCGGAGACAGCGAGGCTTCCGCTGGGAGCTCGGAACAGACCCCGGGAGCCCGCGACCCGGCGCTGGCGTCTCCTCCGCAAGCCTCACACGCAGACTGTTCCTCGTCTCCCGCGGCCGAATTTCGACTTTCAAACCCAACTCCTACAGGATTCTGAGACCCCGCGCCGTCTCCCACATCCCATTTCCAGCTGCAAACTACTGTGGAATCTGAAAAGAAACCCGTTTGCCGCCTCCCGCCTTCCCTCTCCACACAGGTGGAGGGCAGGTGAAGGTCTCACTGGGCTTTCCCCCTGCACTTTTCCCACCGTCTCGCCCGTCCCTGGGGGTCCTCGGCCACACCAGCCATGGCCCAGAAGCCGAAAGTGGACCCCCACGTCGGGCGGCTGGGATTCCTGCAGGCGCTGGTCACGGAATTCCAGGAGACCCAGAGCCAAGGTGAGAGCCACGGTGGGGCCAGGGGGCAGGGTCTGCTGTGACCGCCGCTCGGACCTGGCTCCAGTGCCGCTTTCCCGTTGCAGACGCCAAGGAGCAAGTCCTCGCCAACCTCGCCAACTTCGCTTATGACCCCAACAACTTCGAGTATCTGCGGCAGCTGCAGGTCCCGGATTTATTTCTCGATTCGCTGTCGGAGGAGAATGAGACCCTCGTGGAGTTTGCTATTGGTAAGGGCGGGGCCGGTTCCCTAGATGTCTAATGGGCCGGGGTGAGATAAGTGAGTTAGAATTGAGTCGTTGGGGCCAGGCGTGGTGACTCACGCCTGTAATCCCAGCACTTTGGGAGGCTGAGGCAGACGGATCACTTGAGCTGAGGAGTTTGAGACCAGCCTGGGCAACATGGCAAAATCGCGTCTCTACTAAAAATGCAAAAGTTAGCCGCGCACCGTGGTGTGCACCTATAGGCCCATGGAGACTGAAGCAGGAGGATTGCGTGAGTCTGGGAGGCAGAGGCCAAAGTGAGCTGAGATTGCGCCACTGCACTCTAACCTGCGCGACAGAGCGAGACCACGTCTCGAAAAAAAAAGATGTTTTGTTTTGAGACAGTTTCACTCTTGTTCCTCAGGCTGGAGTGCAGTGGCAAGATCTCGGCTCACTGCAACCTCCGCCTCCCAGGTTCAAGTGATTCTTCAGTCTCAACCTCCGGAGTAGCTGGGATCCAAGTAGCTCCGCCTCCCAGGTTCAAGTGATTCTCCTGTCTCAGCCTCCTCAGTAGCTGGGATTACAGGTGCCCACCGCCATGCCTGGCTAATTTTTGTATTTTTAGAAGAGATGAGGCTTTGAACTCCTGACCTCAGGTGATCCACCTGCCTTGGTTTCCCAAAGTGCTGGGATTACAGGCATGAGCTACCATGCCCAGCCCAAAAAAGATGTCTTAAAAAGAGCAATTTCAGCCACTTCGCGGTGGCTCACACCTATCCTAGCACTTTGGGAGGCTGAGGCTGGAGGATCACCTGAGCTCAGGAGTTTGAGACTAGCCTGGCCAACATGCCGAAACCCTCTACTAAAAATACAAAAATTAGCTGGATGTAGTGGCATATCCTGGAGGCAATCCCAGCTACTTGGGAGGCTGAAAAAGGAGAATGGCTTGAACCCTGGAGGTGGAGGTTGCAGTGAGCTGAGATCATGCCATTGCACTCCAGCCTGCCCAATGGGAGCAAGACTCCCTTTCAAAAAAATAAAATATAAAAGCAATTTTTTGGCCTGGCACAATGGCTCACACCTGTAATCCCAGCACTTCGGGAAGCTGAGGTGGACAGATCACCTGAGGTCAGGAGTTTGAGACCAGCCTGGCCAACAAGATGAAACCCTGTAGGTAACTAAAAATACAAAAATTAGCTGGGCATGGTGGTGGGCACCTGTAATCCCAGCTTCTTGACTGGCTGGGGCAGGAGAATTGCTTGAACCCAGTAGGTGGAGGTTGCAGTGAGCCCAGTTGGCACCATTGCTCTCCAGCCTGGGCAACAGTGAGACTCCATCTGGAAAAAAAACAAAAACAAAAACAAAACCAACAATTTCAGGCAGGAGAGGTGGCTCAAACCTGTAATCTCAGCACTTTGGGAGACTGAAGCAGGCAGATCCCTTGAGTCCCGGAGTTCAAGGCCAGCATGGGCAACATGGCAAAACCCCGTCTCTGCTATTAAAAAAAAAAAAAAAAGAAATTACAAAAGTTAGCCTGTCAGCTGGTTGTGGTGGCTCACACTTGTAATCCCAGCACTTTGGGAGGCTGAGGTGGGCAGATCACAAGGTCAGAAGTTTGAGACCAGCCTGGCTAACACTGAAACCCCCATCTCTACTAAAAACACAAAAATTAGCTGGACATGGTTGGGGGGTGCCTGTAATCTCAGCTACTCTGGAGGCTGAGACAGGAGAATCACTTGAACCCCAGAGGCAGAGATTGCAGTGAGCCAAGATCACACCATTGCACTCCAGCTCCAGCTTGGGCAATAAGAGCGAAACTCTGTCTCAAAGAAAAAAAAAAAAAAATAGCCTGGCATGGTGTTTCAGCTACTTGGGAGGCAGAGGTGGGAGGATTGCTTGAGCCTGGGAGGTCGAGGCTGCAGTGAGCTAGGATTGGGCCACTGCAGTCTAGCCTGGGTGACAGAACAAGATCCTGTCTCAAAAAGAAAAATAACTCATATTTAGTGTTTTCATATCAAGAGAAGTCGAGATGGCTTGCAGTCTGTAACTTATGGCTTCTGTAGTTGTGATCTTAAGACCTACTGAGGCCGGGCGCGGTGGCTCAAGCCTGTAATCCCAGCACTTAGGGAGGCCGAAGGCGGGTGGATCACGAGGTCAAGAGATCGAGACCATCCTGGTCAACATGGTGAAACCCCGTCTCTACTAAAAAATACTAAAAATTAGCTGGGCATGGTGGCTCGTGCCTGTAATCCCAGCTACTCAGGAGGCTGAGGCAGGAGAATTGCCTGAACCCAGGAGGCAGAGGTTGCGGTGAGCCGAGATCGCGCCATTGCACTCCAGCCTGGGTAACAAGAGCGAAACTCCCTCTCATTAAAAAAAAAAAAAAAAAAAAAAAAAAAAGAGATCGAGACCATCCTGGTCAACATGGTGAAACCCCGTCTCTACTAAAAATACAAAAAATTAGCTGGGCATGTTGGCACGTGCCTGTAATCCCAGCTACTCAGGAGGCTGAGGCAGGAGAATTGCTTTAACCCGGGAGGCGGAGGTTGCGGTGAGCCGAGATCGCGCCATTGCACTCCAGCCTGGGTAACAAGAGCGAAACTCCGTCTGAAAAAAAAAAAAAAAAAAAAAGACCTACTGAGTTATTCACTGGGTGATATTTATTGGGTACATACTGTATAAGCAAGCTACTGTTCTAAATGCTGGGGTATGGTGAACAAGTTAGAGGAAGGTCTTTTTCCTCCAGGAGCTTACATTCTAGTAGGGGGGACAGGTGATGAGCAAACAATAAAGATGATGCTCAGAAGGAAATAAATAAGAGTAATGAGAGACAACAGTGGAAGGTGGGGGCTACTTCAGTCTTGGCCATCGTGGGAAAGGCATTTTAGTGGGGACATGGCATGGGGAAAGGCCTTAAAACAGGAAGGAGCCAGAAGGAAAGCTGATGTGGCAGGATCGTTGTAGTGAAGTGGAGAATGGCACAAAAAGCGTTTAGAGAGCGCAGCGGCACCAGAGCTTGCAGGGGCTTAGATCTAGGCCATGGGAAATAGTTTAAGCAAACAAAACTTTGAGAAAGGACAAAAATTCCTTTTTCAAGCCATACACAGTGCCCACCTGTAGTCCCAGATACTCAGGGGGATCGCTTGAGCCCAGGTGTTTGAGGCTGTAGTGTGCTCCGATTGCACCTGTGAATAGCCACTGCACTCCAGCCTGGGCAACATGTGCCTGATCAGCTGGCTGAAATGTCACCAGGCTTCTCCACTGTGAAATTACTCTTTCTTTCCCCTCTTTACATATTATACTCATTGGAAGGAAGTCATTACATCAGTTATCTTAAATCTCTTTAGGCGGGGTGTGGTGGCTCATGCCTATAATCTCAACAATTTGGAAGGCTGAGGAGGGAGGATCACCTAAGGTCAAGAGTTCGAGACCAGCCTGGCCAACATCGTGAAACCCTGTCTCTACTAAAAATAAAAAATTAACTGGGCATCGTGGCACATGCCTGTAGTCCCAGCTACTTGGGAGGCTGAGACAGGAACCCAGAAGGCAGAGGTTGCAGTGAGCCAAGATCATGCCACTGCACTCCAACCTGGACAACAGAGTGAGACTCCATCTCAAAAAAAAAAAACAAAAAAAAACACCTCTTTATTGTTTATTTTTTCTTTTTTAGTTCAGCTTTTTATTAAACGTATTATAAATGAGGTTTAGTCAAAAAGACCAAAGCCTGTGTCACCATCAGACTCCTCAGATTCTTTCTTTGCTTCCACTTTCTTCTCAGCTGGAGCAGCAGCAGTAGAGAGGCAGGACCTCCTGCTGGAGCAGGTCCACCAGCCCCTACATTGCAGATGAGGCTCCCATTGTTGACATTGGCCGTGGCCTTTGCAAACAAGCCAGGCCAAAAAGGTTCAACATTTACACCAGCTGCTTTAATGAGGGCATTTTTTGTTTTGTTTTGTTTTGTTTTTTGAGACGGAGTTTCGCTTTGTTACCCAGGCTGGAGTGCAATGGCGCAATCTTGGCTCACCGCAACCTCCGCCTCCTGGGTTCAGGCAATTCTCCTGCTTCAGCCTCCTAAGTAACTGGGATTACAGGCATGTGCCACCATGCCCAGCTAATTTTTTGTATTTTTAGTAGAGATGGGGTTTCACCATGTTGACCGGGATGGTCTTGATCTCTTGACCTTGTGATCCACCTGCCTAGGCAGGTGGGATTACAGGTGTGAGCCACCGCGCCCGGCGAGGGCATTGATCTTATCCTCCATGATGGTCACCTCATCATCGTGCAGAATGAGGACCAAGTAGATGCAGGTGAGCTTGGAGACAGGCCATGGTGTGGCTGAGTGTGGGGCTGGCGCTGCCAGACGCGGTGCTAATTGCCGGATGAAGTGAGGGCCTCACCCCAACACGGCCTTAGCTTCCTTGGAAGGACCAAGCACCTTGGCAGCAGCTGAGGAAAGGCCTTTTTTTTTTTTTTTTTTTTTTTTTTAAAGATAGGGTCCCCCTCTGTCACCCAGGCTGGAGTGCAGTGGTATGATCATAGCTCACCATGAACTTGAACTCCTGGGCTCAAGCAATCTTCCCACCCTTAGACTCCCGAGTAGCTGTGACTACAGGTCATGCCCGGCTAATATATATGTGTGTGTGTGTGTGTATATATATATATATATATATTTTTTTTTTTTTTAATTTTTGTCAAGACAGGGTCTCAACTGTGTTATCCAGATTGGTCTTCCATCCCCTCCCTTTTTGTGCCTCTGCCCCACAGCTGCTGCCATCTGAATGGTGGCTGTGGCCCCTGCAGAAGCATGTGGCTAAACCTCCACCAGGGGGCGATAGAGCTCCTCCAAATCAAGCCGCTGACCCTAGAGAAAAATTGGCGAAAGTCAAAGAGCAGTCGCCCCAAAAAGTGTTTACCAATCGGAGTCTTTTGTGCTGTAATTTCTCAGGAAATTGTCAGGAAGCAACTTTCTCAGGACAGGGGCATCCTGAGGTCCGGGTCCACTGAGCTATGGGGGCGGCGTGGCCCTG